GGGGACGTTGACAAACCGCCGGCTTCCTGTCCCAGCCGAGGCCACTAGATTGATGATGCTCTCGGGTAAGTAATTGTAGTAGCATCTCGTGGATATGTATATAACCGGAATTTAGCTGGGGGGTAAATAATTTATATCTTGACTATATTGTAGCCTCGATGGGGAAAGGAAGCTGGCGGCTTGTCAAGGGTCCCTCCATTATTGATGAAGATCCTTCTGAATTTGGTCTTGACTTGTCTGGTCATTCACAGCTTCGGCGGGTAAGGAATTCAATGGGTTTGCTACCGCAGTAAGGGCGACAGGAGGCAATGCTCTTTTGTGGAACTCGATCATTTTATCGAAATATTAAAATTAATAAATATCCATTACAATAAAAAAATAATGTAACCGTAAGTTAATTATAATGTTACCACGATCGGTGTTACCAAATTGGATTGTGGCGAGTACAAACAATATACTCACTCCAACTTCTCATTAGCTTAATGGCGTAACTAATTAGCCTTAATTGCAGAAGCTATAATCTCTCCCCTAATTACAGGTAACAGTTCTTCCATCCTCCTATCCTAGTGGAGGAAGCTGAGGTGTAGTCACCAAATATAAGCAAGCTTAAAGTGAATAACCAACAGTACAATTTCCACAGTAAAGAATGTAGCACTCGGCATAGGCAGTTCTAATCGTCTCCAAGACGCTATACAGCTTCGACACAGAACCAGACAGCAGATTAGGACCGCATCCGGCTACAACGCTCTCCCACATAGAGCTCCGCGACTCCTACCTCACTCAGCTCTGCTCTGCTCCAAGCTCCATCTCATCGTCTACGACACTGCTGTATCCGAGACTACTAAATAAATATGAAACCCACTACACACTGTGTATCTAATCTACCCAACAACGTAACATAATCGTTCGTTACAGGATTATAACATTGCCAACTACCAATTCCAACTGCCTTCCCGGTTTGGTGCCTTCTTTTGATAATTACTTCCAATTCCAACTGCAATGTTGCTAAGTATGAGAGTGAATGTTACCAAATTGTACAAGTAAATTGGCTGATACCAAATAACATCTCCAAATTAGATGTTACCAAATAGTGTTAGGAGATTTAGGTGGGGATGTGAGGCGCGAGGAGCGGCAGAGGAGGCTGGCTGGGCCACGACTCCCCTTGATCTCCTGTGCACGTTGTTTAGTGAACAAAAACACTTGCGAGCCTCAAAGACTTGCTGACAAGGGACCCGCAGCGCTGCCAAGGTCCCAGGCAGCTCCCAAGACCTTCCAACGCTCATTCTAAAGTTTATTCTTTGAACAGTAGTTATATTTACAGATTAATGCAGACAACGTATTATACAAATCACAGCTATAGTATAATTCGCATTTCTCATATTTTTGACATAATAGCAAATAATATTAAAATAAAAATAAGAATAATTATACCAGTATAATATAGTTTTGTGCGGTTAATTATAAACAGCTAGATTATGGAAGTGCAAGATTAAAAAAGTTAAATTATGGCCGCCTTGTGGAGCACATTCGCTCGTGCGCGCGTTCCGAGTATTAAAACGTAGAAATAAAAAAAACTTTAATTTTTTATAGTTTATAGTTTTATTAATGTTGGAAATGATTCCAACATTTATAAAACACGGGTGAAGCACTTGATGAGATACGGTTCGAATATGTAAGCCAAGCAATGTTCACAGTCGAACGCAAATAATGGCGGCGCGGCGGTATCGGGCGGCACAAGTCAGTGTGGTGCGGAACGTTGGCATTCTTCAGCTCTACCTGCTCTCTAACTGCTTCACCTCACTTATATCTTCACCTAACCACACTTGGGCATCTAATCATTACAAGGTAATATATGAATTCCTGTTGTTGGGGACTGGGAACCCGTGTATAATTCTAGGCTTGTATTGAGGTCTCTACAAAGTGGAACTGCTGATCTTTCCCAGGATGCAACTCCACATTAGCTGCCTAACTCCCGGGAATCAAACCCTGGTCCCCCGACTGTAAATCTAGAACGAAGCTAACGGAAGATATATACAATGTCTAAGACTTGAGGGAGCAATAAACCACGTACTAGGTTGCCGAGGCCCGGCGCCCAGACACTTTGGTGTCCAGTGCTAAAGGAATGAGAAGCTCCCTGTTGCAACCCTTAAGTACAAGAAGTTAGGTAACTACTGAGATAAGCATTCAGACTTTCAAGACTGTATGCCAGTGCGAGTGGTGAGGTACACCACCTTTGGTGTCCCTTAACTTAGGGACGCTGGCATTATTAGCTGAATCTAAAACAACAACAACATTTTACGGGCTATTCATGCCCGTGCCACCTCTTGGGTGGCTTAATCTTTATCAATCAATCAACAACAACATTGCAGCTCAGTTACAGCCCCGCTCCTGTACCAGGTAAGTCCACCACGGGCTCACCTTAGCCCGTCATGCCTGTGCTACTTGGAACTTTTGTTCCCAGTAGCTGAATCTAAAACATGTGTGAGACTCCACTCAGACCAGGGGTCTTAAGTTGGCTGGCCAAACCTCTCACGTGTGCGCACCAAAATCTTCGAAACTTTGGCGCAAAATGTTCTCGTGTCAACCGAAATTTTGGGCAAACATATTATTTTGTCTTTTGAAGTATTGGGCAAACCTTTTCAAATAAAATGACATTAGAGCGGTAAAATCGAAGAATATTCAGTGATTATTGTAAGATTATTGTAAGCTGAATGAATGTAAAATTTAGTTATGGAAATTTTACTTGAAGGTTGTTCTACCTTGTTAATAGCGTGCATATTTTTTTTTATTTGCCTTTGTGTAATTATCTCTGCCATATATACCCACACAATTTAAAGTCGCAATTTTTTACATCAGCCAAAGAATAAACACTAATTCTGATTTTTCTTATATGAGATCGGTCAGCCAGAAGTTTTCCAAGTTTTCACAATACATTAAAGCGCTCAGTCTCATAATCCTTTTATTTGGCTAAATCGCAATAAAAGGAAATTAAAGTTATTCTTTCTTAATCCCTTGTGAGTGATATATAGAAATTACTTTGTTAAGAAAATCTCATCCTGCATGTCACTTTTGGCACGCGTGCCATTGGTTGCCACCCTTGACTTACACCATCGGGAATTGAACGCAGACTTGCAAGTGGATCGATAAAATTTATTTTAACTACACTACTGTTCGTTCCCATTCATCTATGCCTGGTAGAATGGAGTATCGCTTCGAACAAACTTTAATAAATAAATATTATGTCCATTCGCCTCGATACACAAACTATAGTATTTATTGCACTCCATAACTGCCTCCTGTAACGCATTCTTGTGTTTTCACTGTAGTGAACAGAACAGCAACCCAAACCTGGTGGCGCTCTGGCTATAGTGTCACAATCATTTGTCATTTCTTGGAGTTAAGACAAATGTGGTGGAACCCTTATCCCTGGTTGTTACTTTCACTATATACCCTCCTCCACCTATCCTCACTCGCACGCACATTAAATCACTGACCCAGCTGACATTTTAAACCCGAGCTCCCTTTATTGCGCTGGCCATTATGTTAGTGTTTCGCGTTTAGTCCAGGACAGCTTGAGAGATGGGGTGGAAATTCAGAGGGATTGGAGTCCTTCACTATGTGTCAGTATTAGATCTAGGAGGTATACTGCCTCCTTAAGGACCACACGAGAGCGTGTCACACTGGTATACCAACACACCTGGAGTGAGACCAGAAGAGTCACGCTAATATGTAACCCCACCTGGAGTATACCGCCACACCTGGAGTATACCGCCACACCTGCAGTATGCCGTCACACCTGGAGTATACCGTCACACCTGGAGTATACCGTCACACCTGGAGTATACCGCCACACCTGAAGTATACCGCGAACATCTGAAACACTAACACAGCATCTCGAATGTGCATGCAAATTAGCATAACGAAGCTATTCCCTGGCGCGACAAGACACTAACTTTTACCACAGTGAAGTTTATGGTGAGCGAGAGAGTATAGCCTCGCCTGTGGGAGAGGATCAGCACCACCTCTAATGCCTTGCTCTCCTGTTACACCCGCAAGTGTTGGGGGGTCTTGGTCATGTGACGCTCCCACCGTCGATCACTGCGGGGCGCTGGTCGATCATTACGGGGCGCTGGTCGATCATTACGGGGCGCTGGTCGATCATTACGGGGCGCTGGTCGATCATTGCGGGGCGCTGGTCGATCATTGCGGGGAGCTGGTCGATCATTGCGGGGTGCTGGTCGATCATTGCAAGGCGCTGGTCGATCATTGTGGGGCCCTGGTCGATCATTGCGGGGTGCTGGTCGATCATTGCAAGGCGCTGGTCGATCATTGCGGGGCGCTGGTCGATCATTACGGGGCGCTGGTCGATCATTGCGGGGCCCTGGTCGATCATTGCGGGGCGCTGGTCGATCATTGCGGGGCGCTGGTCGATCATTGCGGGGCGCTGGTCGATCATTGTGGGGCGCTGGTCGATCATTACGGGGCCTGGTCGATCATTGCGGGGCGCTGGTCGATCATTGCGGGGCGCTGGTCGATCATTATGGGGCGCTGGTCGATCATTGCGGGGCGCTGGTCGATCATTATGGGGCGCTGGTCGATCATTGCGGGGCGCTGGTCGATCATTGCGGGGCGCTGGCCGATCATTGCGGGGCGCTGGTCGATCATTACGGGGCGCTGGTCGATCATTGCGGGGCCCTGGTCGATCATTACGGGGCGCTGGTCGATCATTGCGGGGCGCTGGTCGATCATTGCGGGGCGCTGGTCGATCATTGCGGGGCGCTGGTCGATCATTGTGGGGCGCTGGTCGATCATTATGGGGCGCTGGTCGTTCATTGCGGGGCGCTGGTCGATCATTGCAAGGCGCTGGTCGATCATTGCGGGGCCCTGGTCGATCATTGCAAGGCGCTGGTCGATCATTGCGGGGCCCTGGTCGATCATTGCGGGGCGCTGGTCGATCATTGCGGGGCGCTGGTCGATCATTGTGGGGCGCTGGTCGATCATTACGGGGCCTGGTCGATCATTGCGGGGCGCTGGTCGATCATTGCGGGGCGCTGGTCGATCATTGCGGGGCGCTGGTCGATCATTATGGGGCGCTGGTCGATCATTGCGGGGCGCTGGTCGATCATTATGGGGCGCTGGTCGATCATTGCGGGGCGCTGGTCGATCATTATGGGGCGCTGGTCGTTCATTGCGGGGCGCTGGTCGATCATTGCAAGGCGCTGGTCGATCATTGCGGGGCCCTGGTCGATCATTGCAAGGCGCTGGTCGATCATTGCGGGGCCCTGGTCGATCATTACGGGGCGCTGGTCGATCATTGCGGGGCGCTGGTCGATCATTGTGGGGCGCTGGTCGATCATTACGGGGCGCTGGTCGATCATTGCGGGGCGCTGGTCGATCATTGCGGGGCGCTGGTCGATCATTGTGGGGCGCTGGTCGATCATTATGGGGCGCTGGTCGATCATTGCGGGGCGCTGGTCGATCATTGCAAGGCGCTGGGGCGCTGGTCGATCATTGCGGGGCGCTGGTCGATCATTGCGGGGCGCTGGTCGATCATTATGGGGCGCTGGTCGATCATTGCGGGGCGCTGGTCGATCATTGCGGGGCATTACGGGGCTGGTCGATCATTGCGGGGCGCTGGTCGATCATTGCGGGGCGCTGGTCGATCATTGCGGGGCGCTGGTCGATCATTGCGGGGCGCTGGTCGATCATTGCGGGGCGCTGGTCGATCATTGCGGGGCGCTGGTCGATCATTATGGGCGCTGGTCGATCATTGCGGGGCGCTGGTCGATCATTGCGGGCTGGTCGCTGGTCGATCATTATGGGGCGCTGGTCGATCATTACGGGGCGCTGGTCGATCATTGCGGGGCCCTGGTCGATCATTGTGGGGCGGGTCGATCATTACGGGGCTGGTCGATCATTGCGGGGCGCTGGTCGATCATTGCGGGGCGCTGGTCGATCATTGCGGGGCGCTGGTCGATCATTGCGGGGCGCTGGTCGATCATTGCGGGGCGCTGGTCGATCATTATGGGGCGCTGGTCGATCATTGCGGGGCGCTGGTCGATCATTGCGGGGCGCTGGTCGATCATTATGGGGCGCTGGTCGATCATTGCGGGGCGCTGGTCGATCATTGCGGGGCCCTGGTCGATCATTACGGGGCGCTGGTCGATCATTGCGGGGCGCTGGTCGATCATTGCGGGGCGCTGGTCGATCATTGCGGGGCGCTGGTCGATCATTGCGGGGCGCTGGTCGATCATTGCGGGGCGCTGGTCGATCATTATGGGGCGCTGGTCGATCATTGCGGGGCGCTGGTCGATCATTGCGGGGCGCTGGTCGATCATTGGGGCGGGGCATTACGGGGCTGGTCGATCATTGCGGGGCCCTGGTCGATCATTACGGGCGCTGGTCGATCATTGCGGGGCGCTGGTCGATCATTGCGGGGCGCTGGTCGATCATTGCGGGGCGCTGGTCGATCATTGCGGGGCGCTGGTCGATCATTATGGGGCGCTGGTCGTTCATTGCGGGGCGCTGGTCGATCATTGCAAGGGGGTCGATCATGGTCGATCATTGCGGGGCGATCTGGTCGATCATTGCGGGGCATTGCTGGTCGATCATTGCGGGGCGCTGGTCGATCATTGCGGGGCGCTGGTCGATCATTGGGGCGGTCGGCGCTGGTCGATCATTGCGGGGCGCTGGTCGATCATTGCGGGGCGCTGGTCGATCATTATGGGGCGCTGGTCGATCATTGCGGGGCGCTGGTCGATCATTATGGGGCGCTGGTCGATCATTGCGGGGCGCTGGTCGATCATTATGGGGCGCTGGTCGATCATTGCGGGGCGCTGGTCGATCATTGCAAGGCGCTGGTCGATCATTGCGGGGCCCTGGTCGATCATTGCAAGGCGCTGGTCGATCATTGCGGGGCCCTGGTCGATCATTACGGGGCGCTGGTCGATCATTGCGGGGCGCTGGTCGATCATTGTGGGGCGCTGGTCGATCATTACGGGGCCTGGTCGATCATTGCGGGGCGCTGGTCGATCATTGCGGGGCGCTGGTCGATCATTGCGGGGCGCTGGTCGATCATTATGGGGCGCTGGTCGATCATTGCGGGGCGCTGGTCGATCATTATGGGGCGCTGGTCGATCATTACGGGGCGCTGGTCGATCATTGCGGGGCGCTGGTCGATCATTATGGGGCGCTGGTCGATCATTACGGGGCGCTGGTCGATCATTGCGGGGCCCTGGTCGATCATTACGGGGCGCTGGTCGATCATTGCGGGGCGCTGGTCGATCATTGCGGGGCCCTGGTCGATCATTGCGGGGCCCTGGTCGATCATTGCGGGGTGCTGGCCGATCATTGCAAGGCGCTGGTCGATCATTGCGGGGCCCTGGTCGATCATTGTGGGGCGCTGGTCGATCATTGCAGGCCGCTGGTCGATCATTGCGGGGCGCTGGTCGATCATTGTGGGGCGCTGGTCGATCATTGTGGGGCGCTGGTCGATCATTACGGGGCCTGGTCGATCATTGCGGGGCGCTGGTCGATCATTGCGGGGCGCTGGTCGATCATTGCGGGGCGCTGGTCGATCATTGCGGGGCGCTGGTCGATCATTGCGGGGCGCTGTTCAATCATTGCGGGGCGCTGGTCGATCATTGTGGGGCGCTGGTCGATCATTGCGAGGCCTGGTCGATCATTGTGAGGCGCTGGTCGATCATTGTGGGGCCTGGTCGATCATTGCGGGGCGCTGATCGATCATTGCAGGCGGAGGGCCCTGGTCGATCATTGCGGGGCTGAGGACCCTGGTCGATCATTGCGGGCAGAGGGCCCTGGTCGATCATTGCGGGCAGAGGGCCCTGGTCGATCATTGCGGGCAGAGGGCCCTGGTCGATCATTGCGCGGCCCTGGTCGATCATTGCGGGCAGAGGGCTCTGGTCGATCATTGCAGGGAGGAGGGCCCTGGTCGATCATTGTGGGCAGAGGGCCCTGGTCGATCATTGCAGGGAGGAGGGCCCTGGTCGATCGTTGTGGGCAGAGGGCCCTGGTCGATCATTGCAGGGAGGAGGGGCCCTGGTCGACCATTGTGGGCATAGGGCCCTGGTCGATCGTTGCGGGCAGAGGGCCTGGTCGATCATTACGGGCAGAGGGCCCTGGTCGATCATTGTGGGCAGAGGTCCCCTGGTCGACCATTGCGGGCAGATGGCCCTGGTCGATCATTGCGGGCAGAGGACCCTGCATGGTCGACCATTGTGGGCAGAGGGCTCTGGTCGATCATTGCAGGGAGGAGGGCCCTGGTCGATCATTGTGGGCAGAGGGCTCTGGTCGATCATTGCAGGGAGGAGGGCCCTGGTCGATCATTGCAGGGCAGAGGGCCCTGGTCGATCATTGCCGGCAGAGGGCCCTGGTCGATCATTGCAGGGCAGAGGGCCCTGGTCGATCATTGCAGGGCAGAGGGCCCTGGTCGATCATTGCAGGGCAGAGGGCCCTGGTCGATCATTGCGGGCAGAGGGCCCTGGTCGATCATTGCGGGCAGAAGGCCCTGGTCGATCATTGCGAGCAGAGGGCCCTGGTCGACGCGGGCAGAGTGCCCCCTGGTCGACCAATGCGGCAGAGGGCCCTGATCGATCATTGCGGGCAGAGGGCTCTTGTCGATCATTGCGATCAGAGGGCCTTGATCGATGAATGCGGGCAGAGGGCCCTGGTCGATCATTGCGGGCAGAAGACCCTGGTCGATCAATGCGGGCTGAGGGCCCTGGTCGATCATTGCGGGCAGAGGTTATCTTGAGATGATTTCGGGGCTTTTTTTTTAGTGTCCCCGCGGCCCGGTCCTCGACCAGGCCTCCACCCCCAGGAAGCAGCCCGTGACAGCTGACAAACACCCAGGTACCTATTTTTACTGCTAGGTAACAGGGGCATAGGGCGAAAGAAACTTTTACCCATTTTTTCTAGCCGGCGCCTGGGATCGAACCCAGGACCACAGGATCACAAGTCCAGTGTGCTGTCCGCTCGGCCGACCGGCTCTGCCCTGATCGATCATTGCGGGCAGAGGGCCCTGGTCGATCATTGCAGGGAGGAGGGCCCTGATTGATTATTGCGAGCAGAGGGCCCTGATCGATCATTGTGGGCAGAGGGCCCTGGTCGATCATTGCGGGCAGAGGGCCCTGGTCGATCATTGCGGGCAGAGGGCCCTGGTCGATCATTGCGGGCGGAGGGCCCTGGTTGATCATTGTGGGCAGAGGGCCTTGGTCGATCATTGTGGGCAGAGGGCCCTGGTCGATCATTGCGGGAAGAGGGCCCTGGTCGATCATTGCGGGAAGAGGGCCTTGATCGATCATTGCGGGCAGAGGGCCCTGGTCAATGATTGCGGGGGCGGAGGACTCTGGTCGATCATTGCGGGGTGAAGAGCGCTGGTCGATCTCCCAAGGGAGAGACAAAGATTGTGCGGGTCATATTTCGATTTTTGTCTGCTGGAGAGAGAGAACCAGTCGACAGAAGAGGTGACACTGGGTGGGTTAAATTCTCTGTGTTCGACATTTTATAACACGTTATATTCATCTCGACGAATGATATCTTAACGTAAACTTCATTTCCTTTAAGCTATGTGTCAGGCTTAAGACCTGTCAAAGCTCAGACTTTTTTATATTATTATTATTATTGCAGTGCTGGAAGACTCCACATGTGTGTCCTCCATGACTGACAAATGATTTAAAATGTCAACACCCACTGACACCTGCCTCTTGTCTTTGTATTATTCTTGATTACCTTATCACTCCGCGTGTGTCCGTCTTAATCCGTAAACCAGCACCTGTTTTTGTCCGGCAAGACCAACACTTTAACTAGTGTGTCCACCCCCCACCCCACCGTGAACTACTCCCCCCTTCCCCTTACACTTGTGCCTCCTGCCTGCAGGCTGGCGCTCCTGGACGGGTGTGCACAAAGGGCGCTGTTGCTCAATGGAACCACGGCCGCCTTCATACGATTACCACAAAGCGTCCATTAGAGAGATGACTCGGCCGGATCACTGCGTTTACTTCAGCCATGGGAATCGGGTGGAAGGGAACCTTTCACAACCTGAATTTTCTCCCTTTAGTCTGGGTGACCCAGTTCCCCGGGTTCAAACATGGCGGCGAGTAAATTCGTCACCTGAATCACGTTTTTTGTTCTCATATCCTACGAGACTTTCCTTTGCCTCTAGAATGTTGATGACTATATAAATCTCTGATGCTTTGAGTACATAGCTCGACGCCATGTTTATACTCGCTCTCCCTCAATAATGCTAGACATTATGTAAATAATACAACACTTGCCAACTCTTGTGGTGACATTTAATATAAATTTTAATGAACTGATTAATCTAACGTGTCCTCGGCTCGTGGTGGCGGCTGCACGTGGTGTCTGCACGTGGTGGTGGTGTCTGCACGTGGTATTTGCACGTGGTGGCGGTGTCTGCACGTGGTGGCGGCAGCTTGTGGTAGCGGGGCTGCACGTGGTGGTGGCTGCACGTAGTGGCAGCAGCTTGTGGTAACGGGGCTGCACGTGGTGGTGGCAGCAGCTTGTGGTAGCGGGGCTGCACGTGGTGGTGGCAGCAGCTTGTGGTAGCGGGGCTGCACGTGGTGGTGGCAGCAGCTTGTGGTAGTGGGGCTGCACGTGGTGGTGGCAGCTTGTGGTAACGGGGCTGCATGTGGTGGCGGCAGCTTGTGGTAGCGGGGCTGCACGTGGTGGTGGCAGCTTGTGGTAGTGGGGCTGCACGTGGTGGTGGCAGCTTGTGGTAGCGGGGCTGCACGTGGTGGTGGCAGCTTGTGGTAGCGGGGCTGCACGTGGTGGTGGCAGCTTGTGGTAGTGGGGCTGCACGTGGTGGTGGCAGCTTGCGGTAGCGGGGCTGCACGTGGTGGTGGCAGCTTGTGGTAGTGGGGCTGCACGTGGTGGTGGCAGCTTGTGGTAGCGGGGCTGCACGTGGTGGTGGCAGCTTGTGGTAGTGGGGCTGCACGTGGTGGTGGCAGCTTGTGGTAGCGGGGCTGCACGTGGTGGCAGCAGCTTGTGGTAGTGGGGCTGCACGTGGTGGCGGCAGCTTGTGGTAGCGGGGCTGCACGTGGTGGCGGCAGCTTGTGGTAGTGGGGCTGCACGTGGTGGTGGCTGCACGTGGTGGCAGCAGCTTGTGGTAGTGGGGCTGCACGTGGTGGCGCCAGCTTGTGGTAGCGGGGCTGCACGTGGTGGTGGCTGCACGTGGTGGCGGCAGCTTGTGGTAGTGGAGCTGCACGTGGTGGCGGCAGCTTGTGGTAGCGGGGCTGCACGTGGTTTTGGCTGCACGTGGTGGCGGCAGCTTGTGGTAGTGGGGCTGCACGTGGTGGTGGCAGCAGCTTGTG